CTACTGCAGGACAGATGGAGGCGCCGCTGCGATCATTTGCTCTTAAAATACTTCGTCATTTTTGGTCATACAGATATGAGTAATGCATCTTTTGTATCTGTAAAGACACTACGTTTATTCGTGTGCACTAAGAATAACAACGAAATGTTGCACTTTTGTTAAATAATGAAAGCAAACAGGATGCGCTTACTGCCGTCTCGGTCTCTGTGAACTTGAGCACGAAACTTATCGTGTGCACTAAGAATAACAACGAAATGTTGCACTTTTGTTAAAAAATGAAAGCAAACAGGATGCGCTTACTGCCGTCTCGGTCTCTGTGAACTTGAGCACGAAACTTACTCTGTGTACGCTTGCCTTATTACAGACATGAAAAATATATCTATAGAGAGTGAAACTTTTTAAATGAAAAAAAATTCAAATAGTAAACAAATATTCTCAGATTATGTAATCCGTATGAAACATACAGGCGCATACTGCGGAGACGACGAGTCAGTGTCGCCGACTTCATCATTTAAACCGAAAACAGAAAGCACTAGTGTAACAATAAATTATTAAAACTTTAATGCAGTGTACTTACTGTTTTTCCCTAACACATTCATAATTATTATATTTGCCAGTGCGCTGTGGCAAGCCTTTTTTGCGTGCGCTTGAGCGTTTAGGCTATGTAGGCAATTAAAGGCTCATTATTATGATTTATATGGTTTATTAATAAAAGTACGACTAATAGTCGACTAATGCTTCAAATGAACGACTACTAGTCGACCAGAAAAAGTCGAGGGCATCCCTAATGCATATTAACTAATTGTTTATGAGAAGCATACATATAAGAGGCTGACAATTAGCTGAATATATAGCCTACTTGTTTAATTGGTGACACTTAGCCTGCATTTTAAAATCTTTATTTGAATGTGGCAATTGACATTTTTATTTTAAAACGTTTGTTTGAATATGGCAACATAATATTGAGCTCTACAATATTTCTATGAAAAAATCTCTAACAGAGACTATCAGCCAATGACTGTGTGCATAGTTAGTAAGTATGCTGACATCATCCAACGAGCTCAACCCCGCCCCCTTACTCTTAGCTTAAGACTTCTGTCTATTCCTTAGTAAAAGTTTGTCTCAGCAGTTTTGTGAATAGGTTTTAAGAGAAAACTCTTAGCTAAAAACTTTTACTGCTATTTAGGAGAACTCTTAGTGGTAAGATCAAATGTTTTGTGAATACGGGCCCAGATTTTCAGATTATATTTATATAATACACATACATTCAGTAACCTTTCTCCCAATATTTGAATCAATCAAGTCTTATCTGACTGTTGATGTCAAAGTGGTCAGTCGGCTTCAACTGCTGATGTCAGTTGGGTGTCCTTTGTTGGACTGACTTCTGCTTTTGTAAATCATATGACCTAAAACTAACAAACAGACTAATTTGCAGCAAACATGGCTATTTCCTTCAGAAAATTACAATTTAGCTCATTTTAGTATCACACATTTGACATTTTCTGGAACATTCCATCTTGGAATGATCAAGCACCACGATTTTCTCTTCTAGTTCACTGGTTATGCCTTGTAATACCTTATCTTGTAATACCATTGTGAAATTGACTTTGTGTGCAGTGAGAGGGAGAAAAAAACATATACTGCAGGTCAAAAGTAAGGATTTAAAAAAAAAAAAAATTATGTAAGTTTTTCTGTTTTTCTCACCAAGTCCGCAAATATTTGATAAATAAATTACAGTAAAAAACAAAAATGTTGTTTTCTATTCGAATATATTTTCAAATGTAATTTAATCCTGTGATGCTAAGCTGAATTTTCATTAGTCATTACTCCAGTCTTTAAATTGTAAGAATATTTCATAATTTTACTGTTTTACTGAATTTTATAAAACGTAAATGATAGTTCCGGTCCTTGATTCTGATTGGTTGAGCTGCATTCGAAGCTGTTGTAAATTACTCTACAAATCTATGGGGTATTGTCAAGAGGAAAATGAAAAACAAGAGACCAAAAAATGCAGATGAGCTGAAGGCCACTGTCAAAGAAATCTAGGTTTCCATACCACCTCAGCAGTGTCACAAACGGATCACCTCCATGCCATGCCGAATTGAGGCAGTAATTAAAGCAAAAGGAGCCCCTACCAAGTGTTGAGTACATGCACAGTAAATAAACATACTTTCCAGAAGGCCAACAATTCACTAAAAATGTTTTTTTTATTGGTCTTATGAAGTATTCTAATTTGTTGAGATAGTGAGATATTGGTGGGTTTTTGTTAAATGTGAGCCAAAATCATCACAATTAAAAGAACCAAAGACTTAAACTACTTCAGTCTGTGTGCATTGAATTTCAACTAAACAGTTTCTCTTACACAAAAAAAGAAAAAAAAAAGAAAGCAAATCTACACACACACACACACACACACACACACACACACACACACACACACACACACCTCTCAAACAGTCAGTTCTTTCTGTCCAAATGTGCCTTAAATAAAAGGCATGTAAAATGTCCAATTCATTTCCAAATGATTTTCCTTAAATCTGAGCTCCAGATCCCGGCTCAGCTGTTGCTATGAGCGCCTCTATAATCTCGTGCTGAAACGTCTTCTGTGTATGACTCTGCTCAGAGATAAAGATAGGACAGTACAGCTCCCGTCTTGCTGCATCAGTGTCAGACTGAATGGTGTTTGACAGCTCGTGAACAGGTGAGTCAACATCATGCCTGGTTCATCTTGGCAGCTTCGGCTTTAATGAGAGAAATCAACTCCTGGTTGATCAGGAACACAAAGCGAAGACCTGCAATCTGGACAAAACAAACACAGATGTGCTTTATTGACCAGCTTTTCATTCCTTAACTCTGTATACAACTGTTGAGCATGTTATATGCAATAACATTATTAGGATAAATGGTACGGTACAACATCTTGACATTTTATGTAACAGTACATTTTATTGATTATTGTAAAAACAGTATGTAATGACACACTGCTGGTCCACAAAACAGCTTACATTTTATAAAAATGAAACAATACCAGCTGTGTTATTTTAAAGGGGTCATGAACTGAGAAATCAAAATTCCCTTGATCTTTTGACATTTAAGAGGTCATTGTACTATAAAAACATCCTGCAAGTTTCAGAACTCAAAACTTTCCCGTTAGTCTAAAAAAAATAAAAAATAAAAAAAATAAAAAAACTCTTTATTTATTCCTTCTCTTTCTAGCTTGTACTTATTTGAACAATGTCTAAGAACTTGGTATTACAACCACTTCTTGTGTCTGTTTGCCTCTCTTAAGAAGAATCGCTTTATGTATCCCCCAATTGTAAGTCGCTTTGGATAAAAGCGTCTGCTAAATGACTAAATGTAAATGTAAATGTAAATGTCTAAAAACATCTTCTATTGAAGCCAGTCTGCCATAATGACAGCTTGTGGACTGACTGGTGAGTTCCATCTTAGCATTAGATCACATCATGAACTGAACATTCTAAACACACCGGTGTGATCATATGCATCAAACGGGTTCATATTCACAAGGAAAGCATTAACGGAGACGTTTCATTTATAGATTTCAGAAATTAACGCACAGGCAACACGAAATGAGGTGGCGGGTCGGTTTGGGCCCACAGGCCACAAACTTGACATCTGTGGTCTAACCGAAACCAAGAGCTAGAAAGCCATTTTTACAGGGCAGAACACATGACCCTGACTTGTCATTATTTTTGCAAACATTTTGCCGTTGAGAAATCTTAATGTGACTCAGTTGAAAAAATTATACTACTGGCCTCCACCATAAAAAATTTAAGTGAATCCCTTTTTTTGGTGATTGATCATAATACCAGCTGATACACTGTCTGTACATAGAGGAAAGTGTGATATGAACATTCTCTGATATTTAGGAGTTAATACAATAAATATACTGGAACTGTATACAAAAATGAATCAGGGGCAATAAATAAATACCAGTATTCCTACCCCTTTGACAAATTAATTTCCATGATTTCTCAGTCATGACAGATAAAAAAAAAATACAGAGATTACACACAAAGAGCTGATTAAATATTTATAGCGGACAAAATATATTCGAGCTGTGCATAACATAAAAACAAATACATATTGTATTGCACAATTGGTGGCTGACTAAATACTTTTTTTCCCCACTGTACTTGAAGTGCTTGCACCATTTGATTTAGCCAGAAGGTCCGTAATCTTTCCATACATGAATGCTGGGTCACTTAATACACCATCTACCCTATCCAATAAGCAGACTTCAAAATTGCAAACAGGAAGTACTGCTGAAGAGCCATGCTTCATTTGAATGGACTCTGAACTTGTTTAAGCATTTCTGATTCACATGCTTAATGGACATGTCTCACCAGTTACAAGGCTCAATGCTGCTGCTGCTGCTGCAAAAAACTCATTGTAAATAGAAATCTGTGACACAACCGCCGTAAACCTAAATGGGATGCTGTAATCGATAGCCAGTGGCACTTGGACCCTTGAAGAAAGTGCACTGTTTAATGGAAGCTGAAGATAAGTCACTATGTCACTGATCACACAGCTGTTCAACCTCCCAACCTTGCTTTCTGGAGATCTTCCATGCAGGTCCCTCCAAAGACAGATCTACATCTATCTGCTTGTCTTTAGTAGCACGTCCCAGTGTGATCTGAAACAGTTCAAAAGAGTTTGTTATCGGTCATCTGTGGGTGAACTATTCCTTTAGAAACATATGTACCTCAAATTGCATACCTAAATATACCTAAATATCAAAGCAAGTAACTGTGAAAAGCCTGTGCTGTGCAATAGCCAAAGTTGTTCCTCCAAACGTGTATTTGAAGCTTAGTTTTTTCGACAAAACATATCATCCATATCCTTTGTTAGAACTGAGATTAATCGTGGTACAAATGCGTATCGAACCGAGGGTGGGGAACAGTAGGCTTGCCGCGATAGACGGTGATACCGGTGTTAAGCCGCAACACCGGTTACGTCACTTGCCCACCGCGGCACCGACCCCCACCGTCGTTTTGATTTTTTTATAGTAATAAAAATCATTTAGTTCAGTAAAAGAACAGACACTACAATTAAAAACTGAACGCGGCTGCTCAATGCAGCGTGCCGAAGGACAGTCGCATCACAGATCAGATTTCATTTCTCCAGTGAGTCGAGATGACTGACAAGAAGAGTGAGGTGAGACAGACAAGACGATCGCGGATGATTTAGTTTCAAAACGAAATGCAAAAGCGCCTGTTTGGCAATATTTTGGATTTTGAAAAGCATGTTGACTTTTGCCGTTTATAGAAGGTGTTTTGGACGTTTTTTTTAAACATTCGTTTCTTATTTAATTGGTTCCACATTGTTTGCTGATTTTTTCTTTATTTAAACTTTGTGTCATTTATTTATTTTATATGCCGTGCCTCCAAACTTTCTTACTCGTTTTGCTAATAAATGTTCTACGTTTATTATTTATTTGGTTATATATTATACATGTTTACTTAGGTATACAAAACTGGAAATAGGCTATTTAAACTATGTAAGTTATTTGTTATTTTATATTAGGCAAAGCCTGCCCTATAGCATGGTGTATTTTTATTTGTTTTGTTAATAAAAGTTCTGTTTTATATATAGGCTAAAGTGAGTTTGACGACATATTTTGTTGTTGCATTCAAGTAATTGATGCCAAATTGCCGCTAATTCATAAGTGAAAGTAAAATGCGCATGGCGCTTTTAAGCTATTTAAAAGCGAAGGAAAGCGAGGAAAAGAGGGAAAATTCAAACAAACTAAAAACAAACAATTGCTTTACGCCGAATTGCCGATATTTGAAAGTGAAAGTAAAATGCACACCCGGCAGCAGCTTTTACAAGGTATTTAAAAGCTAAGGAAAGCGAGGAAACGAGGGAACGCCCCCGCGGTGATACCGGTATTACCGGTGTTGTCACAGTCGATTAACTCGTGGGAAAATTTCCTCACCGTCACAACCCTAGCGAACAGTATGGTTCGGTCTTTTACAGAGAACGGTTGCACCCCTAGTAATAACTATATACTAAACCAGAACCTTAACCCATGTTTAGTCCATGCAGTTGCCTTCTGTTACTATTATTATGAAGTGCAACCAATATTTTGTTCACTTTCTCACCACAATGGCTGAGAGGCTGTCATTCATATACACAAAGTTATTCCAATAACCTTCAAGTACATAATGTGTTTATTTCACAGATACCAAAGTGAGTGATATTCCTGTGCATGCATGACATTAAATGGTCACTGACCTCTCTAGATCTCATCAGATATCGGACCATTCGTCCACGTAAAGCTGCCAGCGTCTGATTATCAAAGTCTGGTGAATTCATGCCTGTAATAATCATATCACATAATCACATTCAGCAATCACACTCTTCTGATAACTATACAAAAAGATGAAGAGAAATAAATTTGACCTGTGATACTGTCCACTAACACCTGCCAGCGAGGAAGCTCCTGCTCCAGCTGTCTGATCTCACGCTTCTGATGTCTATCTGCAATCATCAGCTCTACAAGAAATACAGTAACATTTCATAGACACAGGAAAGAGTACTGAAATTATTATATCTAAGCACAACAAAAACAAAACAACCAGAGGCTGTATGAAATAACTCACCGTGCTCTAAAACTTCATCCCTGCTGTCCCTGATGAAAATGATAAATGATCAGAACCAGAAAGTCATCCGAGTCATTCATAATTATTTTCCACAAAAGGCTGCAATGAGTCAACACATTAAGAACGAAAATAGAGTGCTGCAGGGATGACGTATTCTTGTAGGCCGGAACCTGAAAACAATATTTTAGCACTTCTGATTCCATCGTTTTTTTTAATGAGTTTTTGTTCAAATGCCCAAAATAAGGCCTGTGGTTAACACAAGCTCACTATATTTTCACGTTTTATATTACAACATGAAATACATCCGTAATACCCCACACTAATTTTTTTTAACCTTTTATTTGTCTTGAAAAATGTGGTTGCTGACAAGTTGCCAACTGAGCCTACAGAAGTTATCGGGGACTTTAAATGTCATCTGGGCGAGAAGGAAAACTCATTGATCACTGGTCCAATTTACAGCCTTGTTGTGTTCATAATAGTGCTTTATTCTAAATCAAGCTTTCAGATAAAACAGTGGTGATGTTGAAGTCATATGACCATGGTGTACGGTAGTTCGAATGTAGCTTGTTTTTGTTGGTCACAGAGCTTACTTTCTGCAATAATCCAAAAAGCACAAAAAAAAAATCACAAATTTTTAAAAAAAATTATATTTAGACATTAATTTAAATTATTATTATTTATTAATTAATTATTATGTAATATATATATATATATAAAAAAAAATTAACTTAAATGATTTTAGCAAATGGCTGCAATACAACAAAGAGTGAAAAATTTAAGGGGGTCTGAATACTTTCCGTACCCACTGTATATGTGTGTATATATCGATCTCTCTCTCTCTCTCTCTATATATATATATATATATGTGTGTGTGTGTGTGTGTGCTAGGTGTGCATTACAAGATTTTAAAGGGGTCATCCGATGCCCATTTTCCACAAGTTGATATGATTCTTTAGGGTCTTAATGAAAAGTCTGTAACATAGTTTGGTTAAAATTTCTTAATGGTAGTGTAAAAAACACCTTTTTTACCCTGTCAAAAACATCTCTTTTCAGAGCAAGCCGTTTTGTAGCATTTTCCTTTAAATGTTAATGAGCTCTGCTGACCCCGCCCTTCTCTTCCGAGCCGCTCTCTGAGGGACTGTTTACTTTAGCCTCATTCATCGTGAAACTTGCTAATTAGCACATTATTAGGAAAGCCGATTTGCAAAGATTCATAAAAGAACCTTATACTCACTTCTTCTGTAGATGAGGCTGGATCATGAATGATTCGCGCGAACATAAACGCATTTATGTAGATCGGGAGGTGCATTACCTTCAGAAACAAATGTAATCCACTGCGTCTTCAGCGGTTCAGATGTCGGGAGTAAATGACGACTGCTATGTTCATTATTACATCCAACAACAGAACACCTCAATCGCTTAGGAGTCATTCTTGTCTACATCTGCTCCAGAGGTGAAACAATGGTGGACTGATGACAGCTCACTCAGGGCGGAGCTAAGGTAAGACACCAGTCCAGTCTGTGCTGAAACGCTACTGTCAATCAAACTATCGTGGGAGGGGCCTGTCTGTGTGACGTCACACAGACAGGCATCTGAGATCGGCTCAATTTGAGAAAGGGGTAAACATTTTAGTAGATTAAAAAAAAAAAACACTGGGTGGATTTTTATCCTTATAGGGTGGTTGTGTACACACACTGTCAACACACATTTCAGTTCAAACTACTTGTAAAAGTGCATGTAGCATCCTATGACCCCTTTAATGCACAATGTGGAGGCAAATAACCACCCAAAGCAAAGCGGAGTGCACTAAAATTGTGTACTGCTTACTGACGATGCCACAAGTACACAAGTTAAGAATACACCGCTAATACGCATGTATGCATGAAAACAAGCTTTCTCACAATAAACAGTTTTTTAGTCTGCATGTACACATAATGAGTGGCATTTCGAACAGTGTGCTGCAGCATGACTAAAAATATTTAACTTGAATTCACTTTTAAAAGTTCACTTGTCGTTTGAAGTGATACATAGGTTACATTTTAGTACAAAAGATAAACTTAACAGAATTTACCCTTCAGTTTTCACTTACATTCACCTCATTTTCAATGTTTTTAGGTGTGTTTTACGTGCCTAGGATCATGAGTGGTTTTGTATTAGGTGTATAATTTGGATTTTTTCTGGTGTGTGTTCGAGAAGGAAGGGTGAGTGTGTGTGTGTGTGTGATATTTCTCGGTTGTTGTTTTTTAGTCACACTGCAGGACTAAGTGTTATTGTGCAGTATTATTTGTCAATTTACTCATAGTGTTGGGTAAGATGAAAAACGGTTTCCTTACTTGAGTTTGGCATCATCAACAACCTGCTCCGCATCAGAGAAGTTCAGCACTTGCTCTCCTTTAGGCAGAGGTTGAACTAGAAACACATCAGATGAAAATGACGGCGATCAACACATGCAGGAGCACCGGACTGTAGAGACGTATGACGTATCTCACCGCTCTGATCCTCCAGCAGATAGTACTGCTTGAGCAGCTGCCAGTGGACCATCAGATTCTTAGCAGTGCGTGATGGGTAAAAGACATTTGGGTGCTTGTTCAGCAAATCTTGAAAAACCTCCAGCTTAGGCTGACTGCTCTACTCACAAACATGAAGCAAAGATGAACAGTACAGCGATTACATTTAAAGAGATTACATTTAAAACAACAACAGCAACAATAAAACCTAGAAAGCATTCATTGTAACATGTCATCAAAATGCTGATGTCTCACTGAGGTGATCTTAGCGAGCAGGGCTTCCTCTGTCTGACTAAAGAGAGCTTTACTCTGAATAGCAGCGATGGCCTCTGGATGCAGCTGTCTCATGGCCTGCCACGCCAACCTGAGGAACAGACAAAACCCTCAGAAAAACATACATTCAGATCCTATGTTAAGGTAATAGTAAAAAGGACTGTTTTCACTTAAATATTAATCGCTTTAAAAGCAGAAAGCTGTTAAAACACACACACACAGACTTATATTTCAGATATCAACTTCTCCTGGGTTCTGTTGTAATCTTATTATAATACTTTTTTTTCTCCCAGAAAACATATGAATAAGGAAAAAACTGTAGCTAAGAGTTTGAGGTTCATGGAATTAGGGCTGTCAAAAAAAAAAAAGAATTTCAAATATTTATCGAATTTCAAATAAAAATCCACATTTGAATGTAAAACCGTTGCATTCGAATTGTAGGTGTGCATCAGGCAGCCATATCAGTGGATTACATTTTAATGTTTTTGTTAGTCTATCCAGTTGAAACCACTAGATGCGGCGCTGCTACGTTGTTCATTCAAAATATTGTGGGAAAAAAGAACATCAATGCGGAGATGATGTTGTTTACGTCAAAACTGAAACCAAGCCGTTCACACAGAACGCATATTTATCACATTTTCTAGAGGGACGTCTATCACCGTTGCACTCACGTCTCACACAAGAGAGCGGCATGTTTAGAAAGCCATGGAAAATTAATGTAAGTTTAATTTTTTAAAAACATGCCTCAAAACGTTATGGCGGTTTTTCTCCATCCCACTGTATCTCATGTTTTTACATGAAGAAAGTACTCTTTGTGATTGGTTTTCGGTCCTTTGTATTAAACCAGTGGTTCCCAACCCTGGTCCTGGAGGCACCCCAACATTGCACGTTTTGCATGTCTCCTTAATCAAACACCTGATTCAGGTCATCAGCTCATTAGTAGAGACTCCAAGACCTGAAATTGATGCGTCAGAGAAAGGAGACATGCAAAATGTGCAGTGTTGGGGTGCCTCCAGGAACAGGGTCATTGTATTAAACTATACATACATGCATGATGCGGTTTTGTTTCTAATTGTTTAAGCAACTTTAATTATATAAGGTTTATAAACATTATTTTAAACAATATGCACTTTTTTCAAAGATAGTTGTGTTATTTTATTTTGCTTTGAAGAAACGTGCATAATATTTTGTTAGATGCGCTCTCTTGTGGCCTCAGGAGAGAAGCCAAAAGCTTTTTTCCCCCCTAACTGAAATTATGCATTTTAAATTCAAATATAATTTGAATATTGATCATATTTAAGTACAAAATTCAAATTTAGTTTTTCAGCTATTTTGACAGCCCTACATGGAATCAAACTTTTATTAGATATTCTAAGACTTGTTTAAAAGACATAATTGCATATTGGCAGACTGTATGCGCATAACTGAAAATGGAACATGATCAATTATTAAAGTGCTTATCTTTATAATTCGACAGAATGGTTAAAGAGAGGTAACTAATTAAGAAGTAGATAGGGAATGGGAGCTTGAAATGCAGATGTGCCTTGGGGCTTCTCAGCACTGTCAAAAGAATAGTCTCGCTTCCAACACTAACTGACCAAACAAACGCATAGGTGGATACAATAATAAAAAATAAAAATAAAAAAGCCAAATATCAGCTGAAAAATTGTCCCTGGTGATCTATCGCCATGAGCTGAATGAATGAATGAATGAATAGCTTAGAGAACCTGGTATGTAGGGTAAGAGGTATAACTTTACTGATACTATTATGCAATGAACATGGCATACATTCTTGAAATGTTGAAGACAGTTTTTTTTTTCCCTTTCACTTTCCTAACAGATTAAAACAGGAACAATAACTAAATTGGAAGGATGATTTGGTCAGAAACTCACTTTGATATGACTGGGTCATACAGCAGAGCGTACCAGCGTTCCTGAATCTCTCGCAGTGTGAAGCGACAGCTGAATTTCACCCCCAGATGAACTGACGTGAGATCTGTGGTCTGAACAGAAAGTATATGTACTCCAGTTCAATTCATCTCTAAACAATTCAGCCAAATCGGACAGCTGACCTGTAACACAGCATTGATGAGCAGCAGGTCATCAGTGGGTTTCCAGCGGCCCAGGTCTTTGGTGATCTGTAACGGCTGCTTGTTCTTCTTCATTCGTTTGGTCATTGATGAAGGAGCGATCACCATGGTAAGAGGAGGCGTAAAAGAGCTGGCAGACTTTAAACCCTATGGTTCAGAGAGAAAATATGGAGTGGCAGATCAAATACAGATGTTACATATCAGTAAAATAAATCTACTAGCACTATGCATGTTTACTACATATAAAATAATACATATATTAAAAAGCTAATTCAATGAAAACGCTGCAAAAATGTGACAGACACTACATGATTCCCTATGAACAGAAAAACACCATCCTGATATGTAAACATGTAATGATACGTACGTAAATGTACGTAAATAAAGAAAATGCCACAGGCTGATTGTCTCCATGCCACGCCGCACTGATGCAGTAATTCATGCAAAAGGAGCCCCTACCAAGTATTGAGTACATGTACAGTAAATGAACATACTTTCCAGAAGGCCAACAATTCACTAAAAATGTTTTTTTATTGGTCTTATGAAGTATTCTAATTTGTTGAGATAGTGAATTGGTGGGTTCTTGTTAAATGTGAGCCCAAATCATCACAATTAAAAGAACCAAAGACTTAAACTACTTCAGTCTGTGTGCATTGAATTTATTTAATACACGAGTTTCACAATTTGAGTTGAATTACTGAAATAAATGAACTTTTCCACGACATTCTTGTTGCTTAAAATTTGTTTTTATTCCCCCAATATTTTTGAAAGAAATCTCTAATGCTCATCAAGGCTTCATTTATTTGGTAAAAAAATGCAGTAATATTTTGAAATATAATTTCAACTTAGAACTGCTTTCTATTTGAATATATTTTAAAATAGTCTATTCTTGTAATGGCAAAGGTGAATTTTCACACAGTCTGTCAGAAATCATTCTAATATGCTGATTTGGAGCTCATTTTATTATTATTATTGGTCCTCAATTATTAATAATGGTTCTTATTATTTTGATATTTCTGCTGGACCAGAAAATAATAGGTAAGATTCACCACAATCAAATATTCCAAAGATTTGTGAAATAAAATCCAATAACCTTCATTACCTTCTTCTTGTCACTGGATGCGAGGTCACTGCCGGGGCATCTGATTGGTTCAATGACTGGCTGACCTTTGACCCGACTGGTAGATTTCGCAAGGCTACTCTCAACCAGTTCATCATCAAACTTCTTTCTCTTTATTGATCTAAAATATAACGATTTGACACTTTTTAGACAAATGTAAAGTACCACAGTGAACCAGATGACTGCTATGGTAACCGAGGACTACTCTTCACCTGGAGGAGCTTCTGCGCTTGGGAATCATCCCGGCTCCACTGAAGGCCTGAGCGGCTGTCCTCTTCACAGCAGTGGACTCCTCGTCCTCTGATCGGCTCTGTGAAGCCATAGGCCCGACCGACGCTTCTGCAGCCACGGCCTTCACATCTGCAACGCATCATGTCATCCATCAGAACACACCATAACTATTATTTATTCTAAACACCCTGTCCATTCACCCATAGCGTAGGTCACAGAAAATATCCCCTTTTGTGTGAACACTACAACCAAAACTCTTTTTGAAATAAAAACTAATGTTGTTATGTTAAATCGCTGCTGTTCATGCTGTCTTACCTTTCTCCATGATCTCCTGATCAGCTGTTCAACACTCAGAAAGCCGATGAATCATGAATACTGGAAGCAGACAGAGGAGAGCATGAACAGATCGAAGCAATAACAAACAAACACTACTAATAACGTTACATGTGCAGTGCAGGCGCTACAGCCTTAAAACTACTGCAGTAAGTTACTACATTCCAATATATCGTGTAATTCTATATTAGATGTACATTATTATAATTTAATTGCTTTATCTGCTCTAACAGCGCCAATTACTTTGTCAACCGTGATACAACCACAACATATTTACATTAAAACCGATCATTCAAGCGATGTATGTTTACCTTTAGAATGAGTAACGTTATCTTTGCGCTCTGGCTCTGACCAAATTCAAATATAACTTGATATTTTATTCTTTTATTTGATTAACAAAATAAAGCGATAATGCTAAATCAGGATAAGCTAACTGGAGGCTTCTGTTTAGTTTGAAGCGCTTCCGGGTTAGACAGGAAATGTCGTCAGAGCAAGTTTCGAAGCGCTCAAAACACCGCATGTTGATCAAAACTGAGTGAACGCAACGAAACTCAGACCACACCGCAAATACTTTCATGTAATTACATATCATTAAATATGAAGGTCTGTCAAATTTGCGTTTTTTTATTAATATAGAGTGCTTGTTTTGTGTGTTTTAGGGCTTGGCAATCTATGGAAATTATCATTGTTTATGTGTGTGTGTGTGTGTTTATGTGGTTTATGAGGACACAAATTTGTATAATGACATAGGTATGACATAGGTATTACAACGAGAAGGTGATTTATGAGGACATTTTCAGTGTCCCCGTAATTCAAAAGGCTTATAAATAATTCAGAACGAGTTTTTCTGAAAATCTAAAAATGCAGAAAGTTTCCTGTGAGGGGTAGGTTTAGGGGTAGGGTTGGTGTAGGGCAATAGAAAATACGGTTTGTACAGTATAAACACCATTATGCCTATGGAGAGTCCCCATAAACCATAAAAACAAACCTCTGTGTGTGTGTGTGTGTGTAATATTACAAGGTGGTCTCAGAGTGTCTATCAGTTCAAAATACACAGATCATTTATTATTTCATGCTGTAAAAGCCACTTCTTGGCTGGAAGCAAAAACATGCTGTTTTCTTGTGTCTCTTTAAATGCCCTGCTTTTAAAGAAGCAGGGCATTTAAAGAGACACAAGACACATAATGCTGAAGAACTTTGCAGTTCTTCAGCATCATGGAAGGTTTATTCTTTGTACACGTCTAAAAAGCCTTGTGAGTTTAATAATAATAATAATAATTTATTTGTATAGCACTTTTCATACATAAAATGCAACTCAAAGCTTCACAAGCATAAAATCAAATTCAAACAACTATAAAAGGTTCAAAATGTAAAATAAAGCATATAGTTTGACCTCAATATCAATATAAAATAATAAAAAAATAAAAAAGCGATAAAAGAAGATAAATTCAAACATAAAAACTGACTTACACACAACTTCACACCATATTGTTATACTGATAAGCAACTTTAAAAAGATATGTCTTGAACCACTTTTTAAAAATATGAATGCTGGTAGCCTCTTTTACTTCAGTTGGTAGACAATTCCACATTTTTGGAGCATAATAGCTAAAAGAAGTACCACCAGATCGTTTATGATTTACTGTATAATGTGCTAGAAGACTGTGCCAGATTGTGCAGTGTTTTTTAAACCAATAAAAGAACCTTAAAATCAATTCTTTGATGGACTGGTAACCAATGCAACTCCATTAAAATTGGTGTAATATGCTCTCTCCTTTTTTGTTTCATTAGTACTCTGGCTGCTCTATTTTGTATCAGTTGTAATTCATTATAGAACCCTTAGGCAAGCCAGTATACATAACATTACAATAATCAAGATGAGAGAAGATAAAAGCATGAATTAGTTTCTTAGCATCATCCAAAGATAAAAAAGGTTTTATTAACACAGCCCAGCTTCTATCCTCTCCCGCTCATGTTCTGCCCCAAGAACTGATCCTTGTGGAACACCATGTGATATTTCATATGTCTTTGAGATACAATCACCTATATTAACTTAAAAGTTCCTTTCTGTAATAAATGTTTTGAACCAATTTAAAACATCACCAGAGAGACCTACAAGCTTTTCCAGTCTGTTTAACAGAATACAATGATCAACCTTGTCAAATGCTGCACTTAGATCCAAGAGTATTAAGACTGATGCATTACCTTTATCAGTATTTAATCTCAGATCATTTACTACTTTTAATAGTGCTGTTTGCATATTATGACCTTATCTGAAACCAGACTGATATTTCTCCCGAACATTATATTAATCTAAAAATTGCTGTTGAAATACAACTTTTTCTAAAATTTTACTCAAAAATGAAATGTTCGAAATTTAGAAGGTTATAGCAAAAACACTCAAAGTTCACATAAACTGTCAGTTATGTGTGCGAACGTAAACAGCTGCATGTGTGTATCAGTATATTAGATCTCTTGGGCATGGCGACAACACACTACTAACATGCCTCAACCAGGCCTCGCCCCCTCTTTTTTTTTTTGCATATGTATTGGGAGGGATTTATTTAAATGAGGAATATTGTGATGTGTACATTCCTGGAAGAAAACTCAGGAATGCAATCGAGGCATGAGTTGTCAAACAAACAATATAATTATTGTTCAAAATTATGAACACTGTTTAAAAATTAAACATTAAGAGATGAGATTAAAACTTATTTCATAACCACCAGTTAGGTGGCAATATGCCCTAAGAATGTAACTCTCCATTAAACAAAAGAAGAAGAAAAAAAAGAAGTATGGCACACTTCTTAGCATCCGTTTCCATGGTGACTCCTTGTATTTATGTTGAGAATGTCTTGTGTGTTCACTGTGAGAATACTCCGGGTTCAATGAACTTATACCCAGGTGTGGTTTTGGAACCGGCGTACCTTGAATAAACCGAGAGGTCAGGGTGTATGTGATGGTAAGTTTACTGTTTTCTCGAATACACCGCTGATATAGAAAACAACTCTGTTTGGAGTGGACCATGTGCTTTGTATCTTTGCAGGTTTTTCATGCACAAACATTACACACTAAAGGAAGTTGAAAATTTTAAAAAAGTATAAAAAAGCATAATAGGACCCTTTAACACATATGCCACAAGTTAAGGTTAACAACAGTAGCAAATGGCAACAAACCTCAGAGAGACAGGATAAAGACAGACCTCTGTTTTTATGTCATGCATGTGGCCAGCAGGGGCACAAGAAGGCAAAGTACCCATAAAAGGCTGCCAGTAGCACACACCTTTGCTATGTTCCCACAGCAGAGCACCAGACACACTGAATGAGGCAAAACTCAACTGTTACGACCTCTAGGGCTAGCCATGACAGGATGAAATGAGTCTTCACAGCAGAGAGATAGGGAGCGGACACGGCCAAAATAACAAACAAAAACAATCCTCTAATTAACCTCTACATTTACTGGAAAGAAATGGAAATCAAAGGGAATACAAACAAACAAAAAAATTGGCAAAGATATATTCACAAAATAAACTGCATCACACCCCCAACTTTCCTTATTTGACAAATATTTACAAGTTGATGGCAAACAAAATCCAAGGCATAATCCAAAAATAATTTTCAAAAAAAAAAGAGACGCCAATCAAATGTACACAAACTATAACAAATCACAAACTGTAAATCTCTCTGGACCAAAATAATTCAGGAGTGGCATGAAATGTTGAGTCCGAGTGTTTGGGGTGGTCCTTGTGACAAGGCAGGAAATCAGGGAAAACCAATCATAGCCTCTTGGAAAGCGAAGACCAAGACTCTTGGGTATCTTCAGCAGGACTCTTTATTGAGAACTTGCTGTGTAGTGCTGCAGTCATCAAACGTCTAACTAAGGCATTGTAGTTTAAATACATTTAGGGGGCAGTGCTTAGAAATGCTTAGAAGCATGCAAAGGAAGTATTTAGGTATAGTAACCTGCCCCATTACACCAATCCTAATTCAATCAGCATAAATATTCAAAGACTGGGGCAGAGGCACCAAGAGCCATTACTGACAAAAGGTAAGAGTCTCAGTAATCTGGCTCATTTGACTTACAATAAAGAGAACAGGAACCTCTTGCTACAAACGTTGTTTAACCAAATAGTTAATCTGATGTCAACCTTAATTTTTCAGGTGATGGTATGACAGGACGTAGGATCAGCAGATCTAAGACTCTTAAATTTGTATTCCCATAACTTCAGAAATGCCCACCTCGAACACACACACACACACAGAGGTTTGTTTTTATGGTTTATGGGGACTCTCCATAGGCGTAATGGTTTTTATACTGTACAAACCGTATTTTCTATTGCCCTACACCAACCCTACCCCTAAACCTACCCCTCACAGGAAACTTTCTGCATTTTTAGATTTTCAAAAAAACGAATTCTGAATTATTTATAAGCCTTTTGAATTACGGGGACACTGAAAATTTCCTCATAAATCACCTTCTCGTTGTAATACCTATGTCATACCCATGTTATTATACAAATTTGTGTCCTCATAAACCACATAAACATGCACACACACACACACACACACACACACAAGAAACAACACACAACTACACCACATATAAACAATAATGACTCAAGGTCATGACACAACATTGATTCTGTCATTTCAGTAAGGATATGTGGCAGAGTGTTCGAAGCATTGGTGGCAGTTGATGCTTCAGTCCAGTATGGGGCATGGTGTCGAGACCAGGATGGGTCCCAAGTGACATGCAGAGCCAAGAACGTCATACACTACATGATATTCTCAACTTTCTCTCTCAATGGCAAATGACTCAAAGACACTGAAACCATCATTTTTCAGATAGTTTTATCACACAGTGAATGGCTTTGCAGTTGCTCAAGCTTCACAGTCATGACTAAGCAACGTGTATATGCTCAGCTTCTCAAGAACCTCATACAGTTCTTCAATGTCTTCACTTCAAGCAGTCATGCATTTATTTACTGCAATAGCTTCAAAGTATTTTGCCATGCACACTTTAATTTTGTTGGATTCAGTTGCTGTATTAAATATCCATCTGATATTAAAAAAAAACAGTCAAGTCAAGTCACCTTTATTTATATAGTGCTTTTAACAATACAGATTGTGTCAAAGCAACTGGACAGCATTAATTAGGAAAATAGTGTGTCAATAATGCAAAATGACAATAGTAAACACTAATTGTTCAGTTAAAGACAGTTCATCATTGAATTCAGTGATGTCATCATCCAGCTCAGTTCAGTTTAAATAGTATCTGTGCAATCAAGTCAATGATGCAGTCAAGCCAGAGGCGACAGCGGCAAGGAACCAAAACTCCATCGGTGACAGAATGGAGAAAAAACCTTGGGAGAAACCAGGCTCAGTCGGGGGGCCAGTTCTCCTCTGACCAGACAAAACTAGCAGTTCAATTTCAGGCTGCAGCAAAGTCACATTGTGCAGAGGACTCATCTGGTTCCTGTGGTCTTGTCCCGGTGGTCGTCTGAGACAAGGTCTTTACAGGGGCTCTGTATCTGGGGCTAATCTAGTTGTCCTGGTCTCCGCTGACATTCAGGGCTGTGGAGGTCCTTTCTAGGTGCTGATCCACCATCTGGTCTGAATACGTACTGGATCCGGGTGACTGCAGAGACCATCTGATCTGGATACAGACTGGATCTGGTGGCTACGGTGACCTCGGAATAAGAGAGAAACAGACTAATATTAGCGTAGATGCCATACTTCTAACAATGTAGCAACAAAGTCAAGAGTTTGTTTTTTCTAGTAGCCTGTCTAAAATCAGTCATGCGAACTCTCCCATCAACCCAAAAGCCAAGCAGAACTAAGTGAAGAGCAGAAAGCAGAAAACAATGTGAGGCAAAAATGAGATAAATTAAAATGAGTTTGTTTGAATTATCTAATTAAATAATCTGTTTAATGTAAAAATATTTAATATATACAAATCATTAAGAATTGAGTAAATAAATAATGAGAGATAGATATGATAGATAGATATACACACAGGTTGCTATTAAGAACTCAAATGAGACAATAGACAATAGTACTGCCTTCTTTCAAACCAGGGGAGTGTGCAGCGTGATCGATCAGCTCCTCACCATCCTGTCATAAATGGCCTTGAAGAGAGAATAATTCACACTGAGCATGTATTAGCCTACTTACAGTACATTGTTATAAGTGGGGATATTTTGATATGGCAGTAACAGCTTAATTTTATTGAAACTGAACGGAAGTGAGAAAAAAAGTGTTTATTACGTAATATGGATATTTATCTTACAAAAACGCATGGATTCGCTACAGGAGGCCTTTATTCACCACCCCCCGGAGCCCTGTGAGGAACATTTTATTATGGATGTGCGCACTTTATTTAACGTCTTCTGAACTGTTGACAACAAACACCCGCTTACCCCCTTTGAAAGGCTTGGTGGGGCCAGGACAATTTTTAATATAACACCGATTGGATTCGTCTGAAAGAAGAAAGTCACATACACCTAGGACGCTTCGAGGGTGAGTAAAACACAGGCTCATTTTCATTTTTGGGTGAACTAACCCTTTAAGACTTCTCTCTATTCCTTAGTAAAAGTTTCTCAGCAGCTTTGTGAATAGGTTTTAAGAGAAAACTCTTAGTTAAAAACTTTGACCTCTATTTAGGAGAACTCTTAGTGGTAAGATAAAATGTTTAGTGAATACGGGCCCTGAAATGTATGTTTGACTCCAGCAGAGGGCGGTATTTATGAACAAACTCCTCCTCCTACTTCGACGCATTGAGAGGGAAATGCTCTCATTTCCGAGGCGTTTCCGCTACTTAAAACATCTGCATTAAAATGCGCTGGCGACGCGTCACGCAGCAGAGATGAAGTTTGCGCGCGCTCTCAGACAGAGGATCAGTGCAGCACTGTGACTGTGACATACAGGAAGCGCTCAACTTCAGCTCAAGGACACCTAACCACCACAGATTTATTTCAATGGTATGAGCTGTCATTATCAAGTATTTTCTTTGCTTGTTAGGCCTGTCTTCTAATAAGGAGCATTCGGTTCTGTGTGTCTGTGTCTGTGTGTCTCTGTGTGTCTCTGTGTGTGTGTGTGTGTGTGTGTGTGTGTGTGTGTGTGTGTGTGTGTGTGTGTGTGTGTGTGTGTGTGTGTGTGAGTGAGTGACTGACTGCGCTTCTTCATGTACCCATGTTTATGTGTTCTGTCTGTGTGTGTCTGCGTGTTTGTTTCTTTGTGTTGGACCCTTGGTGTCAGGACTAAACCACAGAGATGATGTGAACTCTGTAAGACTCTTGATAGTTGGGTCAAGTGAGTCTGCAAGGGAAATGTCTATACAAGTTCATCAAAGCTGTCTAATACTTAGCTATAAATAATCAAAATATCATTTTACATGCATTTGTGCATTGATCAATAAATACACTCACTATGTTCAAATTCACATAACATTTGTCTTCAGGGTTATGACTTGTATCAAAGCTCTTTGCAAATATAACCATGACACCCAGGACTGTAGTCAAGCTGTGATTTCCAGAAAGACATTCAGAATTTTTTTTCTTTTTCTTCTGGCATTCATCATGGTGCTTTACCCCTTTGTCCCACTTAGTTAATGAGGGTCTTTTTTTTAGTTTGCTAATATTTTTGTAACTTGACCTGATTTTGACTTGACCTGTTTAGTGTGTTGAAACGTTACTGACATACTTGTAAAACTGTACCGCTGACTATCCAATATATAGAGCTGAACTTGTTTATGTGTGATTCACAGGCCTCAGGTATGGCAGGGTTGCTGCGGTTGCTCTTGAGCGTGGCAGAAAAAGCCGCCAATGTGGCACGGGTCTGTCGACAGGAAGCATCGCTTTTTGAACTTTTGGTACAGGAAAAGACAGGAGCTGACAAAAACAAGAAATTCGTCCAGGACTTTAAGACGCTTGCTGATGTGTTGATACAGGAAATGATTCGCCATGATGTTTGTGCCAAGGTTCTTAAATTTAAAGCTTTCACTGAAATCAAAATTCATTTTAGTCAAGTTTATCATCTTGATGGCTAAACATTCTCCATTTTTGCTTTATAGTTTCCAGAGCTGACTGGCTTTATTCATGGAGAGGAGTCAAACAAGTTTGAGAATGGACTTGGTATGTTACCCTTAGAAGCTTTGATTCTGTGCTGCAGTTGAAAGGATTTCAGTATGCAATTGAATTCAAATTTTCACCACTCTTGTGGCACTTGTTATTTGACTTTTAACTCCACTGAAATATGTAAAGCTGTAGATCATGTGACAACGTAAATACATGTTTCTTTGCATGGCAAATGTTGTTTTTGATGACTACATGGAAGAGTAAAATCAGATAAAATTATGCAAACGTTAAAACAGTTTAAAGGTTAAAGCATATTCATATAATTTTATCATAGTTGAAGTACTTTGTTGAGCTGTGCTGTCCTTGAAGCAGAGGTCTAAGAAACTGTATGATTTCTTAAAGGAGCCAAGCATTCTGTTTTAGACAATATAGGATGGGCCAAGTATAGAGCTCTGTGGGATTCCCTATTTGGATGCAAGATGCAGAAAAGAAATCCTTGGCAACTGCAGTGACAGACTGTTTACATTAAACTCAAATTAATGGCTTTCTGATCTTTTCTTTTTCACAGGCGTTTTTAAGGCCTTGCTCACAACATGACCACAGCACTTGATGGGTCCAATTATCAAAAAGGATAGGCAGTCTAAAAGCACTGATTAGAGATGTGCTTCTCAGTTAATAGCAGCGGTGGGTGATTTTGTGAAATGATCCAGACGAATCACAGTGAGGACAGTGAAGATGCTGTAAGTTTGGATTCAAGTAGCTTTTAGCCTGCGTCGAGGCGGTGAATATGTCAGGATTTGAATTGTAGTTATGCAAACAATTTTAAAATCAGATGGGATAAAGCCAGTGGTTGGGTGGTTACCACGTTACCTGGTAGGCAAATATTTGCATTATTACAGTAACGTCGTAGCTATCATTATGGAGTATTTTATGAGTTTATTGGAAGAGCTGAGGAATACTTAGCATGAGATTGAAATGCTTGTGTTTGTTTTTGGGTGTTCAGAAGATGCCAGGGAATAATGTGCAATTTAGGTTTTCTTCCACTGTTTTTCATACCTGCAGACTTGTCTCCTTTTGACGAGATTCGCCGTTCTGACATTGAAATAGGCCATTCACATGATTTGTGTAGCTCCGAGGAGTTTTTATTTGGGAGGTGGTTATATGAATGTATATCTGATGGGAACTTACTGTCTTCAGAAAAGCTGGCAATGGTAAATGGCATTTTCTTTTCATCTTACGACCTTATGATGCCTAATAAAGTAGTGTTCATAAGTGCTTTGTTTACAAGGGTAACTGTGGTAAATCATTTATTAGGCTGCATTGTGTGGTTTATCATTCTAGAAGTTTTTAGAATTTTCTGAAATAATTTTGATTGCTGATTCTACAAAATTTTTTGATTTTTTTTTTTCCAAGTCTGGAATTTGCAGGTATGCTTTTGCTTCTCATAAATTGTTTATGCATCTCTGATGGCCAAGAACACTCAAACTCAGAGCTGTAGTCAATGTATTAATCAAATAATTAACACCATTTGACTGGAATTGATGTGAATTGTATTTCTTTCAGGGGAGAGCGTAATTGTGACAGTATGTGCTCAAGAAGAGGACACGATTGCTCTGTTGGCTAAAGTTCTGGATGGTGATCAAAACGCTGCATCCCTCCTGACCAAGGTGATCCACCAGGACCTTCAGATTAGAGACGAGGCAGCTGAATCTCTGCAGCTGTCCATCAGCCCAGTCGACGTGGGCATCTGGATTGATCCCATCGGTAATTTTTTATTTTCTGTCCAGATTTTTACTTCGCTAATTTATTTAATTTGACATTTTATTCATTTATCCTTTTATAACTTTTTTAAAATCCAAATAAGGAACATGACAAGCAATTTGTCGTACAGCCAACAATTCATAGTTCACAATACCAGGTTTAGTGTACACTAGATTAGAATGTCACAGAATACAGTATATTGAGTTTAAAGATACATGAGATACATGAACGTGTGCCCTATAGGGATGTAACGATTCACTCAACTCACGATGCGATACGATTAACGAGACTGATTTCACGCCACGATTTTCTCACAATTTTTTGAACGAAATGAGATTCAAGAAAAATGATAAATGAAAAGGTGTCCTTTAATTATTTCTCGGACAAAATGCTGCACATTTCTTTGTGAAATTGAACTGAAATTTTAAAACAAATCCCAGATCAAATAAATAAATAATACAAATAAAAGAAATCTCTTCATGTAAACAAACTAAGGCTTTGCCTGTGCTTTTTTAATTTAAAATTAGAGGCAACCACTGCATTTTAATCATGATCCAAACAGAGATGCAGCATACATGCAACACAATCAGTTTTTGATTTAAATTAGATTATTATTCGAAATTATCATTTCGAAATTTGAAACAAAAACAGAATAGTCTGACTTTAGCTTTGTGACACTATACTACATAAAACATATGTGACCCTGGAGCACAAAAGGAGCCTTAAGTCGCTGGAGTATATTTGTAGCAATAGCCAAAAATACATTGTATGAGTCAAAATTATAGATTTTTCTTTTATGCCAAAAATCATTAGGATATTAAGATCATGTTCCATGAAGATATTTTGTAAATTTCCTACTGTAAATATATCAAAACTTCATTTTTGATTAGTAATATGCATTGCTAAGAACTTAATTTGGACAACTTTAAAGGCAATTTTCTCAATATTGTGATTTTTTTTTTTTTTTGCACCCTCAGATTCTAGATTTTCAAATAGTTGTATCTCGGACAAATGTTGCCCTATCCTAACAAATGTTGCCCTATCCTAATATGATGTATAAATCTCAATTTCGAAAAATGGACCCTTATGACTGGTTTTGTGGTCCAGGGTCACATATCTGAGCGAAACAGAAACAGCAGACGGGCTGAATAAGAGCAGGAGGCGCTTATGGAACAGCAGCGATACAGCGTTTCCTTGGTTACCGCTGTAAACACAGCAGCTCTGTGCTTTTAAGCACTACTTTAATATGCATTATACGGATGTACGATGAAAAGAAAACACCATCTAAACTGTTTTTCTGAAAACAGTCAGTTCCCCTCAGATTTACATTCATATAAACCCACACCCCCAAATGTATTGTGATTCGATTAACATCTCAACCGACTTGAATCGTTGCATATTTGTACCGATTTCAACCAGCTCTGGTGCATCGTTACATCCCTAGTGCTGGGTAGTAACTGGTATTTTTTTATCAGACATTTTTCTATTGTTAACATTCAGCACTAAGATCAAACCAAACATTTATTTTTAATGGGCATGCCAATTGCTGTGACATATCGTGACTCAGCTAAAAGCCTTGTCTTTCAAGTCCTACACATCATTATGAAATATTTTGGCTAATTTGACTGTTCTCGGCACCATTTAAATCGGCCTAGATAATGTAAAGTGTGCAGTATCATTGTGGGCCTACTCCTTAAACACACATTAACCACTTATTCTCTGGGGCGTTTTTGGTATTTTCGCCTAAATTTAACATACTCAAATTCAAATGTTTACCCTACACACATACAATGGAGGAAATGAAAAAAAATGGTTTCATTGCAAAGAAAACCCTTTGAACTACAAAATATGAGTGTAATTCTTTATAAATAACATTATATATATTTCAAATATTACAATAAACATAGGCGCTTTTGGAGTTTAAAAAAAATATATATTTTTGAAATTCTGTAGTTCAGGTTCTATTAGGCCCAGGTCTCTGCAATTTACTTTGTTTGATGCCACTACATGTCACAAAGTACCAGAAAAAAGAATCTTTCAAATAACAGCTTCTAAACAGGAGTTAGAACATTATAAGTGAAGCGAGTGAAATTCTCCATTTCTGCATCTAAATGTGTCATGGTGAGTTTCCCTTGCAAAAACAGGCTTTATAAAACACATTAACCCCCCAATCCTATTGTACTCTGTGCCATAAGCACTTTAATTGATTATTGATTGAATTGTTTAATTTCTATGTTTTTCTAAGTAGTAATATACAAAATGGCACAAGCGAATTGGACCAATTTCAAATATTGTTTATTCTACAATCAAATTTAATTATTTCAGGATGCACAAGACTGTCTACATTATAAAATATATCTGGTTTATCACAATCTAAAATAGAATCCATATCCTCCAGCTTTATATCATTCCATTTATGTGCATTCTGTATTGGGATACTGCTTCACAGCATCTCTCACCTCATCAGCTCACTCCTGTATCCTGTGCATCTCTCCATGACAACACTGTATCATCCGTGGTCCAGAGCGGAGCTAATTTGCTAGCCGGCAGCTATCTCTACATTCACAGCGTCAAACAAACATATATCACCAAACATATATCCACACCGCACTATAAATAATCCATGTATATTTACTCTATACTTACTGAAATGCATAATGTACTGTACTTTTCTGTCAATAAACAAGTGTATCAGATTTCTAGCAGTGCTATCACGTTTCATAACAAAGAATAAGCTCTCAAACAC